AGCTGCCCACAGCTTCTGGTGGAGCCTGGCAGCAAAGACCTGGGCCTTTGGCTCCTGTCAGAGCTCATCCAATAGCCCCAGCAAAGGGAGTTTAGATCAGGCACTGAATTACTGACAAATTTCTCCTCAGTGAAATTCTCTCCGCGTTGTGGAAGTGTTTGTTATACAGCATTACAGAGTAGCAACGCAACGAGGCTTCTCTGGGCTGGGGCCTCAGACCTGTCATCAGTCCCGATGCATTTTCACCCAAAGATCCTGCTGCATTTTTTATCCCTGCATCTCTCATGGCCCCGTGTGTCTTCCATTTCACTGTCCCCCCCTCAGGCCTTTCTGCAGCAGCTCCCTGCGACAGGAGCGTGGCAGCCGGACTGTGGTGAGGTGTCTGTCCTGCCCACGCCCCCCCAGACCCAGCAGCTGTGTTCCACCTCCGGGCCCTGTGCCGATGAATCCACAGAGCTGTGTCATGTCACTTGTTGCTTTATTTATTGTGCTGCCAAAGACTCGTGTGTACACAGAGTATCCCAGCATCACCCTCCGGAGCAGGACCTTGGAGCCGCGGCCTTGGGCGCAGCCCGGATGGATTCAGCTCCCGAGAAGCCTCGGCCATTGCCGGACGCGCCGTGCAGAACACGGAATGGGTGCGGCTGCAGAGCCGTAGCGCTGCGGAGCGCCCGCGGGAGGGCAGGGCTCTCCTGCCTTGCCCGCCTCCGGACACGGCCCCGAGCCTTTGGATGGCATGGGGAAACTTTCTACTTGGCCTCCTTTATATTTATTATTATGGGGAATTTTTATCGTTTAAATTTTGTAAGAAGGCAAAGCTTGAAATGGTTTTATTTTTTTTTTCCAGACGCCTGTGGGTTTTAACCCGATATATTATCTATCAATAATGTAATTTATTTAATTTAGTCTTAGGGCAGGTCCTGAGATCTCTGTTCAGTCTGAATCGCTTTGTGTTTCGGTTTAGCTTTTGGAGTTTTGCCTGAATGTAGATGGGGGGTCAGGCTCTGGGGTTAGCCATTTGTGTCTATTTAATTCAGCCATTTGTGAGTTCATTTGGGAGTAACTTTGCTTATTTATCTGCAGGGCTCTTGTAGCGCATCGGGGATGCGGCGCCTGTTAGTAAATTCACTTCAGAGCTGGCGCTGCTTTGTAGAGCAGCCAGCTTCTGTCACACAGGGGAACAACAACTCGTTCCCTAAAAGTCTAGTTTTAATCCCTTCTTTTAATTCATTTTAATTGTTTAAATATCAACGTTTAAATTATTTAAGTTAATCTCTTCCCTCCTGATTAGAAAGTGTGACATACCTTTAGTATGGCACATGAAGCCTTCATAATATAACTTATTTATTTAACTTATTCATCGTCACCCGGGGATGCCCTTGTAGAGTTTTTATTTTTTAATTAGAGTTATCTATAAAGCACTACAGCTGATTTCCTGTAAGAGCAGCAGAGCGAACTTTGAGGACAAGCAATGAATATTCAACCTAAAACTGTGCATTCAGAAAAATAGGAAAAAAAAAAAAAAAAAGACACTGGGATACTTTGCCTGAACTTTGTGGCTTCTTAAAGCTTAAGCTGGGGGGAAAACAATCCATGCCAAGCAAAAAGAGAGAAACCCTTAAACTAGCTGCTTCCAAGAATGAACTTCTGTGTGTGGAAAAAAAAAGAAAAAGGAAAAAAAATGAAAAAAGAAAAAAAAAAACAGAAAAAACCTTTCTATTTCTAGTGAGAACCAAAGAGGCTACCTCACTGACTTTTCCATTTGTAATTTTAATCGTGTTGATGATACCAAAGATACCAAAGATTTCTTTCTCTGTGCGGTCTGCATTCTGCTTGTGCTCTCTGATAACTCCCATGTTCTCTCCTACACCCAGAAACGTCCAGCAGAGCCCAGATTCCCACAGAAACGCTGCCCTGCAAGCTGCCAGTTCTGGCGATGCCCTTTTCTGTGTTCCTCTCTCCCTCCT